GAACTATTGGGTCAAAGTCATAATAATTCAACACATAGGGAGTGAGGACAGGAATGTTATTTTCATGTTGGAGTCAGAAGCAAAAGACTGATAAGGGCTTTTGACTCTGATTCTTATCTTTTGACCTGAAAGATTGGGAGCAAAACACTTTGTTTTGACCCCTGCTAATAGTCTCATTGTCCTGGTAGCTATTTTCATCTGCTCAGCGTTACTTCCCCCCCTTCTTTGGTAACAATGCCCTATTTTTCCTTTGTGTAGAGTGATAATGCAATTTATTATCCAAACTTGGACACTTTTGTGAGTGAAAGTGATGCCATTTATAGTTATTCCTGAAAAACAGTTGTAAATTGGGACTGTCTAGGGCAAACCCCAACATGTGGTCATCCTACCTTTGAGGAATGAGTTCCATCTATGACATGAGATCCTGATGGGGCTGTTAATCAGGGTATCTCTTTTCTTCTGACCAAGGATATCAGCACACGGCCAGAGAGAGTCTGGTCCTTTTTCTCCTCAGCAATTTTAATCATGAGTGGAAGACTCATGACTGGACCTAGTGGAAGTTGAGTCATTCAGGTGGCAGTGCCCAAAAAGGGATCACCCCTGATACGCAGATGGAAAACTCAATGTCTCCTTGGTTCTTATCCTCCATGAGACAGGGTAGTTTTTCCTTCTGTAAAGGACTCAATTTCCAGTCAACTTTGATTTGATTAAGTTAGCCATGTTTGGTTTCTGTGGCTTATAGAAATCCTAAGTGATACTTTATGTTTGTCCCAGATGCAAGAGACAGTCTTTCTCCAGCCACCTGCTGACAGATTTAGCCAGTGCCTAACAAAGAACCCCTGGAGTGTTATTTCACCATCACAGTAGGGTGGGGCAAGACGATGGTTGTGTTTGAATTGTTTGGTTCTTTTGTGTATCTTTGCCCAAGAACAGGCCACATCCAGGTGGGAACCTGTGGTTTGGAGGTGGTTGAGTTAGGAAGAGTAACAGAATTTGCTGAGTAGAGTTGAAGCAATAGAGTAAACACCTTTTTCTTACTGGTATGTCTCAATACCAAGCTCAGAGTGAGATTGAAGGACAAATACCAGCTCCACTTAAGAATAACGCTTGGCAGGGAACATTGAATGTTAATCATCTTTATTAACAAGTTTGAGCTCCAGCGAGAACTTCCACATACTTTAGTTTTGTGCAACTCTCTCCACCCCCAGGCTTATTCTCTGTCCCTCTCCCTTCTGCCTCTACATCCCTCAATCAAGTGATATTTTTCCTCCATTATAGAAGCAATGTATGTACATTAGAAACTATTTGGGAAATATCTAAAAATAGATATAAAAGAGAAAAATAAACAGTGAAACTTTGGGGAGCATTTCTTTTGATAGTTTTCCCTCCATGACTATTTTTTATTAGGTTTTAAATATTTAAATTATATAGTTGTATGCAATTACTGTGCAATACATTTTCTACCCCTTTGGTAGATAATGTTATAAG